AAAATTTGGCTTATACGTATTTTTTTTTATAGCTTAATAAGACAAAAGTTACAAACTTCTGCAGAGTTAAGTTTAATATCTTTATTATGCACCCCATACCCATCCTGTGGGCAGTAGTCAAAAGATTACAGAAGTACATAATAGGTCCAGGGACTGGGCCACAAAGTTTTGATAGCTGAACAAGTTACATTGGTAATGAACTGTTTACATGTTTATAACTGGTCACAGTTGTAATGGGTTATTTATGCAAATATGAATTAGGTCATACACACGCAAAAAAAAAAAAAGATAGTAATGCTTTATTTACAGTGAGCAAGTCAGAGTATTTTTCCAGAATGGTTTGTAGTAGACACATACCACTGTGGATAAAATACTTTGACGTTTCTGGAACATTTCTGAGTGAGTTGTCTCTGAATTTATTAATTTGATCACGTTCCACTACATGATGCAGGTGTGACATTTGTCCATCTGGCAAAGTTTATATTTTGTTTGGTCTACATCAGATGGTGGTGATTTAACCTCCCAAACATACTGGTAACCTAGCCGGAGCCAGGCAGTAGTAACATCCAAAAGTCTGCTTATTTGTTAGATGCACCATAGACATGTGGCTCCTGCATGATAGAATGATGATAGATGGACTGACCATTGCCACTCTCCCTCAGACTTAAGTCAGTGAAGTTCAATTGAAGTTCTTTTCATATTATTGTTATTCTCAAACTGCTTACAACCCAAGATTGTAATCTACTCCCTGTTTGAAGGCATATTACTTTGCCAATTCATCAGATCTATCATGCATCTGAAGATCAATGTGAGATGGAAACCACAGAAAGTGTACCCTGACTCCACTGTCCACAGTCCTACCATATCTGTGTCAGGCTTTTGACACAAGCATGCCACAATTGATAGTTAAGGAGTTCAGAGCATTTATGGATGATAAAAAATCAGTTACAATTGAAGTGTCAACCTTTGATTCTACAAAGTCACCAGAATTAACCAACATGGGTTAATATGGGGCGATTCATTGAAAATTCACATATTTAGATTGAACATAAAGTTACGGTATTTTATTTAACCCTTAAACTCCAGAATGGTCTAAAATGTGTCTCAGTGCTGGCAATTTTGTAAATATATATACTTCTTTCTTTCTTTCAACACATCGGCCGTATCCCTCCGAGGCGGGGTGGCCCAAAAGGAAAAAAGCAAGTTTCTCCTTTTACATTTAGTAATATATACAGGAGAAGAGGTTACTAGCCCCTTGCTCCTGGCATTTTAGTCACCTCTTACAACACGCATGGCTTACGGAGGAAGAATTCTGTTGCACTTCCGCATGGAAATAACAGGATATAAAAAAGAACAAGAACTAGTAAGAAAATCGAAGAAAACCCAGAGGGGTGTGTATATATATATACGTATATGCTTGTACATGTATGTGTAGTGTGACCTAAGTGTAAGAAGTAGTAGCAAGATGTACCTGAAATCTTGCATGTTTATGAGATAGAAAAATGGACACCAGCAATCCTACCATCATGTAAAACAATTACAGGCTTTTGTTTTACACTCACTTGGCAGGACAGTAGTACCTCCCTGGGCAGTTGCTGTCTACCAACCTACTACCTGGATATATATATTCTTTCTTTCTTTCAACACACTGGCCGTATCCCACCGAGGCGGGGTGGCCCAAAAGGAAAAACAAAAGTTTCTCCTTTTACATTTAGTAATATATACAGGAGAAGGGGTTACTAGCCCCTTGCTCCCGGCATTTCAGTCGCCTCTTACAACATGCATGGCTTACGGAGGAAGAATTCTGTTCCACTTCCCCATGGAGATAAGAGGAAATAAACAAGAACAAGAACTAGAAAGAAAATAGAAGAAAACCCAGAGGGGTGTGTATATATATGCTTGTACATGTACGTGTAGTGTGACCTAAGTGTAAGTAGAAGTAGCAAGACATACCTGAAATCTTGCACGTTTATGAGACGGAAAAAAAGGACACCAGCAATCCTACCATCATGTAAAACAATTACAGGCTTTCGTTTTACACTCACTTGGTAGGACAGTAGTACCTCCCTGGGCGGTTGCTGTCTACCAACCTACTACCTGGATATATATATATATATACAGTATATATATTTATTTCCAAAAAGTCTCCCTGATTTAGGAAGTGTAATAAGACAAGGATGAGTAAAATCGTACTGTATTGTTGCAGTTGTGGTATTGTGCCTTTTCATTCTTTAAGGAAATTGCATTTTGTGGCTTCCTCAGTGTCTTACACATACTATTTTTTTTTATGTTGTGCACACCAATGGTGCAGACCTGTTTTCTCTGAAGTAGGTCTAACCAGGTTAGGCAAATCAGTACCATTTTGGAGACCTTAGAATTTACGCCATCCAGTTTCTTGATTGGCATAAACATATGTAATTGGCAACCTGAGAGTTAAACTCAAGCACAGTACTATGTCTACAGCTTAGTAAAACTGAGTGGGTGTAGAATTAATTGACCTGGCATGAGAAAGCTTTGAACATGTACATTTACAATTTTGGTTGCACTTTGTGGTTTCTCAGTGATTAGTGAAGAATAGTATCTGCCACTTTGCCTAAGATTATCAACTACCACAGGGAAGCAAGTTGTTCATTACTGTACTTAAAAAAATGGTACCAAATCTTTTTAAAAGTGTTAACTTAAGATTTGATTTTTAAAACTAACCTTATTTTTTCTATGCACTATACCAGACACTTCAAAACTCACTTTATCTTATCAGGGAAAGTTGATCTACACCCAGTATACTCTGTTTACTGAGATATATTTCTACATAAAACTTATGTAATGCTGAACTGTTTGAATATTTAAATTTGTGAAATATATATTCTCATGCCTTTTATTTGTTAGCTCTTCTAGGTGTGCGTGCATTTGGTGTACACATCATGGGATATACAAGAGTGCCTGAAGATGGCAGTATGAAGATTTGGGTGCAAAAACGATCTTTGGACAAACCAACATATCCTGGCATGATGGATACCATGGTTGGAGGTGGCATCACTGCAGGGCTTCAACCCTTTCAAGTAATGTTAAAGGAAGCACATGAAGAAGCTGCAATCCCTGAAAATATTGCAAAAATGGCACAAGCTGCAGGAACAGTTACGTAAGTGTACAGTGATAAAGTTTGCGTTTTCTTTTATGAAATGATTATTACTAGTGTTTATGCTGGCTGATAGTATGCAATGTTTTGAGTATGACAAACATACTTTGTAGTAAATGCTTAATTGCATCTTTTATGTGTGTTGCAAGTTTTGAAAAGTATTGCTAATTTTAATAGCTTAAGTATTTCAGTTGTATATGAAACCAAAAATATAGATGCTGACAGCCTTGCATTTTAAGATATTTGCCCAAATTTCTACTTGTTAGTGTGTATATTGACACTGTAATTTGTGTAGGCACAGTATACATAACATCTAAAGGTAAATTCAATAAAAAATCAAACGTTACTATTTTGTATTGCTACCACTTCACATTACCAGTGCTATGTGGTTTACATACAAAATTGTCACAAAATAATAATCTCTGGATGACCAAATTGTATTAAACTTCAGATACTGTATTCCTACACCAGCTGCACAACTGTATAATTATTTAGTAGTTTTAAGTTCTATTTTTAGTCTGCAGGAAAAGGTTTCACGTAACCATGAGCTTTTCAATAAGGTTTTTTGCTTGCTTTCTCATTGTCATTTTTTTTTCCAGATTCTTTACAGAGACTGAGCGTGGTCTGCATGCCAATACTGAGTTTGTGTATGATTTGGAGTTGCCTCCAGATTTTGTGCCATGCAACAATGATGGAGAAGTAGAAGGCTTTGAAGCTGTATCTGTGGAAGTAAGTGAAAAGAATGCATCAATACAGCAGCAAGGGTAACAGGCAGTATAGGACTTCTGGAGTGATGTGAAGTCAGGGAGGGTAATGGTGGAGTCATATGGGAAAGTGGAAGAGGTGAGGGTAGTTCAATCAATTGGAGAAAAATTGGGGTGTATTTTAGATTTGATGGGGAAATGGTAGACAATATGGGAAAGGCAAAGGGAGAGAGTTCAGCACTCTTGGTAGTGAATTGGAGTGAGGAATAGGGAGTAGGTAACATTGTCTTAGAAGGCATATCTCCAAGAAAATTTCCAAATCAGTAGGCATCCTTTCCAAGATACGATATTATGTACCCCAAATGAGGCAGTAGGTAAAATGAAAGGGGGTAAGGCAGCTGGGATTGATGGGATAAAAATAGAAATGTTAAAAGCAGGTGGGGATATAGTTTTGGAGTGGTTGGTGCTATTATTTAATAAATGTATGGAAGAGGGTAAGGTACCTAGGGATTGGCAGAGAGCATGCATAGTTCCTTTGTATAAAGGCAAAGGGGACAAAAGAGAGTGCAAAAATTATAGGGAGATAAGTCTATTGAGTATATCTGGTAAAGTGTATGGTAGAGTTATTATTGAAAGAATTAAGAGTAAGACGGAGAATAGGATAGCAGATGAACAAGGAGGCTTTAGGAAAGGTAGGGGGTTTGTGGACCAGGTGTTTACAGTGAAACATATAAGTGAACAGTATTTAGATAAGGCTAAAGAGGTTTTTGTGGCATTTATGGATTTGGAAAAGGCGTATGACAGGGTGGATAGGGGGGCAATGTGGCAGATGTTGCAGGTGTATGGTATAGGAGGTAGGTTACTGAAAGCATTTAAGAGTTTTTACGAGGATAGCGAGGCTCAAGTTAGAGTATATAGGAAAGAGGGAGATTATTTCGCAGTAAAAGTAGGCCTTAGACAAGGATGTGCAATGTCACCATGGTTGTTTAATATATTTATAGATTTATAAATGCGAGGGTCTCGGCAAGAGGCATGGAGTTAAAAGATAAAGAATCACACATAAAGTGGGAGTTGTCATAGTTGCTCTTTGCTGATGACACTGTGCTCTTGGGAGATTCTGAAGAGAAGTTGCAGAGGTTGGTGGATGAATTTGGTAGGGTGTGTAAAAGAAGAAAATTAAAAGTGAATACAGGAAAGAGTATGGTTATGAGGATAACAAAGATTAAGTGATGAAAGATTGGATATCAGATTGGAGGGAGAGAGTATGGAGGAGGTGAATGTATTCAGATATTTGGGAGTGGACATGTCAGCGGATGGGTCTATGAAAGATGAGGTGAACCATAGAATTGATGAGGGGAAAAGGGTGAGCGGTGCACTTAGGAGTCTGTGGAGACAAAGAACTTCGTCCTTGGAGGCAAAGAGGGGAATGTATGAGAGTATAGTTTTACCAATGCTCTTATATGGGTGTGAAGCATGGGTGATGAATGTTGCAGCGAGGAGAAGGCTGGAGGTAGTGGAGATGTCATGTCTGAGGGCAATGTGTGGTGTGAATATAATACAGAGAATTCGTAGTTTGGAAGTTAGGAGGAGGTGCGGGATTGCCAAAACTGTTGTCCAGAGGGCTGAGGAAGGGTTGTTGAGGTGGTTCGGATATGTAGAGATAATGGAGCGAAACAGAAGAGTGTATCAATCCGTAGTTGAAGGAAGGCAGGGTAGGGGTCGGCCTAGGAAAGGTTGGAGGGAGGGGGTAAAGGAGGTTTTGTGTGCGAGGGGGTTGGACTTCCAGTGGGCATGCGTGAGCGTGTTTGATAGAGTGAATGGAGACAAATGGTTTTTAATACTTGACGTGCTGTTGGAGTGTGAGCAAAGTAACATTTATGAAGGGATTCAGGAAAACTGGCAGGCCAGACTTGAATCCTGGAGATGGGAAGTACAGTACCTGCACTCTGAAGGAGGGGTTTTACTGTTGCAATTTAAAAACTGTAGTGTAAAGCACCCTGCCTTGGTGGGAATCGGCCAGTGTGCTAATAATAATAATAATAATAATAATAATAATAATAATAATAATAATAAAAAAAAATGACACTCCTTACCCTATACCACTCTTTAATATTTCCCTATCTCACCTAGGGTATTTGTGCCTGGGGATCAACCACAGCCAACCACCTTAAATTTTTAATAACTCAACAAAAAGCTGCTGTGCAGATGATTACCAGCTCCTGTGTTAGACAACACACCTCACCACTTTTCAAAAGCCTGAACTTGCTAAATATACAAGACATACACTCGTATTATTGTGCCTACTACATATACAAAACATTAAACTCCAATATAAACCCTCCACTTAAACTTCTCCTTGATAGCTACAACAGAACAGTCACAACACAAGGCACTCTTCGACATCCCTTGTATCTGTCTCACACTATATAAAAATGCAATGCACATAAAGGGCCCGAAGATCTGGAATTTACTACCTGGGCCGGTAAAGGATCCTCTGACTACTTATAAATTTAGGACTTTGCTTAAAAATCACCTCATCTTTCAATACTAACCAAACCAACCAAAACAACTTCTAATCATTTGAAGCAACTCTCCCAAATATTATGTTATGTGACCTCTAGTCTGTTAAACATCTGCCAATCTATGAAATATTACTGTTTGAACCATTATTTGTAATTGTGCATCTTCAAGATTATTATTCTTATAATACTCCACCTTGACTACCTTGCATTAGTATTAAGGTTAAATAAAGATTTTAGTACAAGTTAACCACTCTTATCTTGTCTAGATTTAAGTACATAGTTATTATATACTAAGATTAGTCTGCCCAAATGCCCTGGCAAACCAAAATTGTGATTACACATTATAACCTTTACAAAGAAATATAAACTATTTTTTATCTTTAAGGTAGTGTAATTGTAAATCAAAGGGATTAGATATAAGACTTATGCTAATTAAAAATTTATCTTTTTTTCTAATAGGAATTTTTGGAGTGTGTGACATCGATTAAGTACAAGCTAACTTCAGTTCCTGTTGGCATTGACTTCCTTGTGCGACATGGATTTATCACACCAGAAACTGAACCAGAATACCCAGCTCTCGTAGAACTACTTCATGCCCCTCTTGACCAATTATACCGTAGATGGCCTCAAAGGAATTCTCCTAGAGTCTTTCCAATAAATTAAGTCAGCGGTACAGTATATAGTCATTACAGGAACCAGTATTATTTGGTATATGTGATATTTGGTTTTGTAAAATGTAATGTCTAAATTTTATTCTTGTAATTATATTAATCACATTCATTTCTTATTTTAACAAGCCATTTTAACTAAAATACTTATATTAAAAAGTTAATGGTGAAAGCCATTTGCCTTTATCATAAATAGTTTTAGGAAACATTCGAGTTTTTAATGTAAGCTTTTGAAGGGCTGATCATTAAATTCGTAAGTGTTAAACTTTCATGTATCAAAGATAGTGCTGTGAAATGCTGAATATAGTTTGAAGTCACGCTTGTCTAAGTATACAGTATATGACAAAGGTGCTTGTTGTTATACGGGTCCAAGAAGTTTCTTGCAGTGATGCGCTAATGTGGAAAACTGTGTAGGTCAGGATTGTAGAGAAAAATTAGTTTACAAAAAGACTATATGTATATAAAATAGAGGTGCATGAGTTTTATCTCCAGGAAAGACAATACTCTGGTAATAAAATAAATGCCCACTTTTATTTGTTAAAATTAATAATTTAGAAATATTACACTTGGCCTTTGATCCTGCATCTCCGTTATTTAAAGCACATAGTATATCTTTGAGTAGTGACATTGCCAGCATATTTTAAAGTGATTCATGTAGAACCATAATAAATAAATAAATATATATATATATATACTACATTCATATATATAAATGTATACAGTGGACCCCCGTGTTTCGGCGGCCATTACTTTCGTGAAATCTGACTCGGCAACTTTTTTCATCAAAATATAGCCTCGCGGTTCCTGATTGGTCCATCGTACAGGATGTGTATGTGCAGCCAGGAGTGGCTGAGCATACACAAAGGCTCCCACACAAACATTCAGAGAGTCAGTGCGGCATGACTGATGGGCGAGTGACCATCACCCCATTGTTTTTTGTGCTTGCAACTGCTAAATAAGCCACCATGGGCCCAAAGAAAGCTCATAGTGCCAGCCCTTTGGTAGAGAAGGAAAGAAACACGATAGAATTCAAGAAAAAACTTGTTGCAAGGTAGCAAAGTGGAGGAGGAAGAGAGAAGGGAGAATGTGCCTTCTTCACTGATTCAGCGATTCTACGATATGTACGATACTAAAGCAGCAGGTACCAATAAAGGCTATAGTGCCAGCCAGCGATAAAGTGTAGTATTAACAGTGTAGCAAGTAAGTTAAGCAATTAAGTGATAAAAAAAAAACACGAAAGTAACTCTCCAATGTTGTTGGAGGTGTATAGGGCCACTGAACATATGCTGCCCTGCTATCTTCCACCATCCTAAATCTTTGCCAGCATCTCCTCCATCAAACTAATTAAACTAGCATCTCCTCCAAGGTAAGCATAAATATTTATTTATAAAGTGTAAATATTTCTTATTTATAAATTAAAGTGTAAATATCTCTTATTTATAAATTATGTACATTGTTTGTGTGAATAATGGTGGTGGCTTCTGCTGCAGCCTCCACCACCGCTAATATGTATGGCTTCTCTCAGTGGCCCTTCTAAACCCAACAACACCATCACCACTCGTGACATACGGAATGACATATTTTATTAATTCTAGAGTATATATCATGTTTCTATGTTATTAATATTGTTTATTATGTCATTCTAGATGAATTGTGATAGATAAATAAGCCTTAGAGATGATATTAGTCATATTGAAGCATAATAAACTTCCCTTTCCCCTTTTTCCTGTCTGCCATACACCCAAAAGTCTTCTTTAAAGGTAAGTGTGTTTGTTAAATGCTCATTTACCCTTTTTTAAATTGGTTACTTTATATTTATTTGTCATTTTTTTCCCTGTATTAAATCTATTTTTAAATTCTTTAAAAAAATATTTTTTGTTTAAACTTTTGGGTGTCTGAAAGGGAAATTAATTGGATTTCCATTATGTCTTAGGGAAAAAATTTGGTTTTGGGGCCATTCGTGAATTTTGCCATTCACAGATTTTTTGGAAGGGAATTAATCACAAAAACCGGGGGGGTTCACGTGTTTTGGTATAAAAAAGTATATAAATATAAAACACTGCCTACCCAAAAGGATTCAAACCCCATTTTGGGTATTTGGCCCGCCTATGGTAAGCGAGAACCACATGAGGGCTATCATTTCACGGGACCCCCAAAAATCATAGGATTGGTGGTCCTGGGGGGTTTAAAAGCGCCCATGTGGTTCTGACTCCCACAGGCGGGCCATACAACAGGGGGTTATTCCTTCTAGCACAGGGGTTTTTTATTGATCAATATCACTTTTTTGGGGTTTACAGTAATTATTAAAAAATTTTAAATTTTAAAATATAAAAAAAAAAAAAAATTTTATAAAAAATTTTTTAAAATTTTTTAAAAAAAATAAAAAAATTTATATAAATATAAAAAAATTTTTTTAAAAAAATTTTTTTAAAAAAAAAAATTTTTTTTTATAAAATAAAATAAATTTATATAAATATAAAAATTTTTTATAAATATAAAATTTTTTAAATATAAAATTTTAAAATTTATTTTAAAAAATACAAAAATTTATAAATAAAATATATAAATTTATATAATATAAAAATTTAAAATAAAATGAAAAATTTAATAAATAAAAATATGAAAATTTACAAAAATATAAATATTTTAATTTTAAAATTTAAATATAAATAAAAAAAATTTTAATATAAATATATAAATTTATTAAAATAAATAAATTTATTTAATTAAATATAAATTTATATAAAAAATCTATATAATAAAAGGTGTTTTAATGTTTAATATATATGTATTTTATAATTGTAAATATATGTATTTTAAAAGGTATATATATATGTGTAATATATATATCCAGTGGCCCCCCGGGTTTAAAAGAATTTTTTTCATTCCAGTGGTATTTTCCCAGGTGCCGAATGCCCCAAATTTTTTTTTCCCATAAGGAATATTGGGGAAGAAGATTAGCCATTTCGACCCCAAACATACAGTACAAACGCCTTACATAAATACACTTACATAATTGGTCCTTTTGGAAGGTAAATTTTTTAAGCGGGGGGCCACTGTAAAAATATATATATATTATATATAAAATTTTATTATATATATATATATTATATATAAAAATATATATATATTATATGTATTATATATATAGTATAATATTATAAATATAAATTTTAATATATATATAAAGTTTTATTTTAAAAATTTTAAAAATATATAAGTATTTTTTATTATATTATATGTAAGTATAAAATTATATATATATTTTATGTAATTTTATATTATATATATAAAAAGGATAATATTAATATATATATAATTGTATATATATATAATTTTATATAATTATATATAAATATAAGTATATTTTAAATATATAAAAAGTATATTATATATAAGAATAAAATTATATTTTATTATAAGATATAAAATATATTTTATATATTATAATATACACACATTCTTTCAACAAAACCCGGCCGTATCCCCCCGAGGCGGGGGGGCCCCCCCAAAAGGGGAAAAAACAAAAGTTTTTTTCCCTTTCATTTTTTAGAAATATATACAGGAGAATGGGTTCCCCCTACCCCCTTTTCTCCTGGCTTTTTAGTCGCCTCTTACAACACCCCCATAGTTTAATGGGGGAAAGAAATTCTTTTCCCACTTCCCCATGGAATAAGGGGAAATAAACAGGAACAAAAACTAGTAAGAAAATGAAAAAACCCGGGGGGTGTGCATTATATGCTTTACATGTATGGGGTAGTGTGCCTAAGTGAAAGTAAAATAGCAAGATTACCAAAAAACCTTGTATGTTTAGGGAGACAGAAAAAACCCCAAATTACGGGGGCTTCATTTTACATTCATTTGGCGGGGACGGTAGTACCCCCCTTTTGGGGGGCTGCTATCAAACCAACCTACTCCCTAAAAATTTTTAATATTATATTATATATATATGTATATATATAAAATATTTATATATATATATTTATATATATAATATATATATAAAATAAATTTAAAATAAATATTTTTAAAATATATAAAATAAAAAAAAACCCCGGGCCCGGCATCCCACCGAGGAAAGGGGTCCCCCCAAAAAGAAAAACAAAAGTTTTCTCCTCCTTTTAATTTAGTAAATTTTAACAGGAAAAGCATTTACAGCCACTTTCCCAGCTTTTTTAGTCCCTCTTACAACACGCTTTGGATATATTATTTATTTTTTTATTTATTAATCTTGATCATTTTGGTCACACCATGTGCCACAAAGAGGGACCTAAGAGTCAGCGGTGACAAAAGGTCTCCGGATCACTGGCCACCTGGAGAAATGCTTAGAATGCTTTTCATGATGCAAATTAGATCAAAATTAGAATACTCTGTGCAGAGGTGATATGGTGTCTGTACCTTAAAATGCAGAAGAATTTGAAAAAATTATTGGACACATTGATACTGTGATATGAAAATAAGAAACATGATGACCCCCTGTAAGATCATTCAAGGATGTGAAATTTACTGAAGAGAGATTTTAACACTAGGCCATTGATAAAACTAAAAAAAAGAAAAGGTGCCATAAGGACAGTAAATAGTTTTTTATAAAAAGTAGTAGAGTAATGGAATAGTTGACATGTGAAGGTCCTAAGTGCTACAATCACAGGCAAGTTTAAAAACTTGAAATAACTCATATTTGAAGCTGGGACACCACAAATTTAGCTCTGCTTCTGAGCTCCTGCCAGGTAATTGAACACTGCTAATATTTCTAATTTATAAAATAGATTTTATAAGGAATAATTAACTATATAAACTTGTTTGTAAATGATACAAATAATTCAAGCAAGTTATTACTCATGAAATTGTAATTACACAATTGCAAACATTGGGTGAGGTTTGAACTCATGGCAAACAAGTCCTAAAACTCACACAGGCCAGTGCATTAACCACTGGGCCAGCTAGCTCTAATAATTTTCATTTGACTAGGTATATTTCTGTACATCATAGAGATTAACATTTCCCCATTGTGACCACAAATGCAGATTTTTACAGATGAATCCCACACCAGTGTGACTGTGGCAAGCAAATTCTAAAACTCAAGAGTTTTAGGACTCGCTTGCCATGGGTTCAAGCCTCACCCATTTCACAATACATTTACGTGCAAGTTATAAAAATGACAATGGTCATAGGAAGACCCGAACAAGCTGAGCTGGTGAAGTGACTGATGGATGATGGAATTCACTGTGGATTAGTACTAAGTTATAGAAGTGGGAGAAAACAAAAACTGTCCACTTAAAAATAGTCATAAATTATTATAAGCATCTAAGTGAGGTACTTAGGAGTTAGCAAGATAATCTTAATGAAAGTTTGAGAAAAGTTCATTAAAGATGGCCAACTTTTAACCCTTAAACTGTGTACGACTTGCTAATATGCAGGGAACCAGGCTGTGTTAGCTGTATTAGTATGCATAAATTTTTTAAGTTTCACATTTCAGAGCTCGGCTCAGTTGTTTGGGTCACCTTCCTGTCTTGGCTGGGAAAAAAATCCAGAACTCAGCAAGCCCATTCAGTGTGTTACGGGAAAAGCATTTAGGACCTCTTTTACAGCCACCAATTTCCCTCCCAGCAAATAGTATGGAACTAGAAGGAAAATGCCTTTTTCTTAATTTATTACAATTATGTAAATATAAGACTGGAATTCAGTTAAAAAGCATGAAAGATAACCCAATAAAGCCAAACAGTGTTACTTATTTCCATGCTTTTTGGACTGTTCCACACCTTGAAGGGTGTGGAACTGGCTGGAAAATGACCTGGTTTGTTCCAAATTCATTATTATTTCATGATACTAACTGGAATTTAGTCAAAAAAGCACACTGTGTAGATTTAACCTAGAGTAATCCAAGGTCAAACATTATGACTTATTTCCATGTTTCAAAGATTATCACATCTGGAAATGATTGTAATATCATAAGAGTTCTTTGTACATTGTTAGATGAAAGTAATGCCAAAAAAAAAAATCATTTATACCCAAATTTATATTAGGTACCCCATGTGGGTATATGTCGGGTGATGCAAGTCCTAAAAACACCTTGAAATGCATCTAAGAAACTAACTTAGCATCAATAAATTGTAAAATGTATATTGCTAAGCTCATTTAAGCAGCTGTTGTTGATGAGTGATGATTTTTCACTAACTTCAACACTGTAAGATTGTAAGTTATTATATATTTTGTTGTGTAAAAAATATGTACTTCAATCATTTTTTTACACATGCATGAAATTTTATTTCTGTGTATGGCACAGTTTAAGGGTTAAATGTATGAATGGGTAATGCTATAAAAGCTATTTACAATATATTTTAGGCCAAAATTTGAACATGCAATGCTGGTATGACATCTGTACCAAAAAAAAAAAAAGCATGTGGACAAATTTAAAGCAGTACAGTACAAAGCTGTTACAGAATGGCTACCAAGAATTAAAAAGTTGTGAAGGTTGAAAACATTAGACATGCCTTTATTTATTTGAAGTTATTTTTTATTATATTTATGTGAAGCATTAAACCCATTTGGGTCAATCTGTGCAAGTAGTGGTGGGGGTTTAATCCTCCATGTGCTAATCAGGAGACTGCCTTAATACTCCACTGGCTGAGAGGCAATGGAGACATAGCCATATGAAAGATTCTAAGAGGATATGAAGAATAGGTAACAAATTGCCTAGCACCAACTAAG